ATTACCTGATAAGTGTTAAATAATTACTCTAACAGTAGTAGTCAGTGACAATATTGTGTTTATTCCACAAACTTGCATAAGCGTATGATTCATTTTCACGAATAGCTATGGAGTTCTTTTAAATCCACTTTAATATTTCCCGTTTGATGTTATCTGCTTCCTCTGATATCTCATCTGTATCCCTCACAAATATAAATATATTAAAGCAGGCTGTGGAAAAAAAAGTTTGACCTTTAACATCTGACTGTGTTTTCTGACATGTCTGTCTTCTGCTTAATTTGCCGGCTTCGATTTCTTCTCAGCCTTGTTAAATCACCACCATTCTCCGCACTCATTGAGTTTCTGTTCGGATGCTACTTTCTCTGTTGACCTTACAATACAATTCTCTACATTTACTTTGGTCCACAGTTGACACTTCACTCACCTTCGATTACAGTTTTCTGCCATTGTTGAGACCCATCAATGTGGGGAAAAAAGGCTGTTTTAGTCCCAGTTCGATCTATTGGAAAGCATTTATTTTCAAAACCGCTTTTCTGTGCTCTCATAGCTACAATCTGTGCCTCACAGTTTTGCTTCAGGGCATTTTCAAGATTACAGTTCAGGTCGAAATGCGACAGGCCTTGCCACACATATTTAAGAGTGATTTTATGATCTTTTTTAAGTTGTTTTTCCTTAATTTTTTCCCCCCATACTTTTTAGCTAAATGACTTGTGCTGGATTTTTTGTTTTGTTTTGCATGTGCATAATTGTTATTTAAATTTAAATAAAACCTAATTCGTTGTATTATAATTACATAAGGAATCAATATTTTATTTATTTAGTTTTCGTTTTAATAGTTTTAGTTTTCATCTCCCCTAGTCCAGTCTAATCTAGTTTACTTTTGTTTTGCTTTGCTTTGTTTTGCTTTTTTTCAGTTTAGTTTCAGTTTTGTTTAGGTTTGATTCAGTTTGGTTTTGTTATCAGTAGCTATAGACAGCCTAGTTAAATCATGAGCACAAATTCCTAGTATGTGTTTCCTTTCCTTTTTTTCTTTTCCCTTCCTTTCCTTCTCACTTTAGTTGATTTGTTCCTTTTTTTCCCCTTCACTTTTTAATGGATTGACTTGTGCTGGACTTTTTTTAGTTTTGCATGTGTGTAATTATTATTTAAATTTAAATGAAAACCCAATTCATAGTATTGTTTATAATAAGATAAGGAATCAATATTTTATTTTATTTTAGTTTTTAGTTTATTTTTAGTTTTAGTTTTTATCTCGCCTAGTCCAGTCTAATCCCAGTAATGGGTTTAAGCTGGAAGGGCATCCACTGCGTAATACATCTAAGTTGGCGGTTCATTCCGCTGTGACGACCTTAGATTAATAAAGGGACTAAGCCGAAAAGAAAATAAATTAATGCTTTGCTTTGCTTTTCTTCGTTTCAGTTTTGTTTGTTTCGTTTAAATTTAATTTGAGCTTATTTTTTGTTCAGATTTGATTCAGTTTGGTTTGGTTTGGTCATCAGTAGTTATAGACAGCCTAGTTAAATCATGAGCACAAATTCCAAGTATGTCTTTCCTTTCCTTTCCCTTCCTTTCCTTTATTTACTTTACTTTACTTGTCACTTTAATTGTCACTTTAATTGTCACTTTAGTTGTTTTTTTCCCCTATTTTTACCCTGTACTTTTTAGTAGAATCACTTGTGCTGTACTTTTTTGATATTGCATGTGCGTAATTATTTAAATTATTTCAATTTAAATAAAAACCTAATTCATAATATTATTTATAATTAGATAAGGAATCAATATTTTAGTTTAGTTTAATTAGTTTAGTTTCATTTAATGTCATCTTGTCTAGTCCAGTCTAATCTTGTTTTGTTTGCTTTGTTTCGTTTGTTTTGTTTAATTTCATTTTCTTTCAGTTTTATTTCAGTTTAGTTTAATTTAGGTTCGATTTAGTTTGGTTTCGTTTGGTTTCGTTATCAGTAGCTATAGACATCCTGGTTAAATCATAACCACAAATACCAATGTGTTAACTTTCCTTTCCTTTTTTCCGTTCCTTTGCTTATCTTTTTAATTGGTTTGTTCTTTATTTTTTTCTCTAATCTTTTTGAGTGGACTGACTTGTGCATGACTGTTTTTGATTTTGCATGTGCGTAATCATTATTTAAACAACCTAATTTGTTTTATTTCATTTAGATAATGATAATTTGCTTTTGTTTAGCTAGTTTAGTCTTGTCTAGTCCAATGCAATCTAGTTTACTTTTGTTTTGTTTTTTACCTTGCTTACCTTTGCTTTGCTTCACTTTGCTTTGTTTTGTTTCAATTTAATTTCAGTTTAGTTTCACTTTAGTTTTGATTTGGTTTCATTTCAGTTTAGTTTCAAGTTTTGTTGTGTATAGACAGCCTAGTTAAATCCAGAGCACAATTTCCAAGTATCTGTTATCGTACTTTGCCACATCTCCATTTTCTTTACCTTTCTTTTCCTTTCCTTTCTTTTCCTTGTCACTTCAGTGAAAGTGTGCTATCCTTATATATATATATATATATATATATATACGCACACACACACACAACATGTCCAATCACATAAAACCCTTGCAATCATGTACATTTCCTTGCTAAAAGGCAGCTTGAGCAGTTATTGTCCTTCTGTTGTCCTTGGTTTACAGTTTTTCCTCCCATCCTTCCTTTATAGTGATATTTATGAAAGTTGTCATGTTTTAATTCATGCCCACAGAGTTAATTATAGAACACCTGAATCTAAAGCCTCAACAATTCCTGTTACATTCACAACTTCTCTCATGCATTGAATCAAGGCCATTGTTTAATGTGTGCACAGTACATGTTTTACATGACACGACCTACCTTTGATTGATGTAGCTGATATAGTATGTATGCATTTTGCAGTTATAGCATATTTTCCCTGTTATATTAGATAATACAAATCTTGCTTCAATCTATGAAATGCATTAAAAACTCCTGTAATTACATGGGCCTTGTTTTAGTTAGAGCACTGCCCTGCTCAAGGGAACTGATTTAAAAATAAAGGGTGTTATAATTTTTTGTCTTGTCCTAGATTGTACAGAGATGACTTTTTGTGCAGACACGACTATAAATCATGTTTAAAATTCCTTCTAAATTGTGGACACTATGGCTTTGTGGGTCATAGGAGTTTTCCACACACGAGTGTGGAAATGCTCTTATTCTTGCAGTTGCTTTGAATGAAAATGCAAGTGAAGCAGAAAGAAACCGCTTTAATTGTTGACTTTTTTTGTCCTGTCTTCGATTTTTCGTCTCGTGATCTTTCGTTTGATTTGTGTTTTGTTTTTTAAATGCACCATGTGTTTTCGTCTTTTTACATAGTTTTGGTTTTCATTACCGGTTGTTTTAAAGCAGACATTGGCAAACTTTCTTGACCCAGAGACACTCTCTTACACCGTCTCCTTACAAAATCTGATGCCATAAGATTTCAGAAATAAGCAGTTTGACTGTCCAAACCAGACACAACACAAAACAAACATTTAAATAATATGTTTAGAAGCACAGAATCACAGCACGCCCAAACAAATTGCAGGTTTGTGATCTAATTAATGAATATTAAAACTCATTAACGTTATTGCTGAGTGTTAGTTTGTCACAGATCTACAACTCATGATGTACTTAAATGTTTTCTAGTTATTTTATTTTCAAGATCTTAGGAAAAGTATCAGCTGGTGCTTTTGTGGGGCAGCATATATAAATGTAAATGCTTTCATTTATTTATTTATTTATTTATTTAATTTTTTTAATAGCTGTTTCTTTTTCAACAATTTCAAATTTAACATTTAATCTTAATGTCAAAAAATGCTTCTAAATCATCACATTTACACATCTTTTGAGTTTCATGTTTCTTTTCAATTTTGTGTGGTGCGGCATTATTTATTCGTCTCTGATTTTGTGTGATTTTTGTCTTTCTTTCCCGCTGTCAATGGAGCAGCCCGGCGAAATGACAAAGAAAGCTGATTTCATTCATAAATCATTTCAAGAGTTCACACTTAGATACTGTTTGATAACTTGTTAGCAGGTTTGGCATGCTGTTCCAGGAGAGAACCCTGAGCTCAAGGTCAGGTGTTCTCGAGAGGTCCCCACGGCAAAAGAGGAAAGGAGGAGAAGGGGTGGATGGGGGGTTTCTTCGGAAAACGAAGATAAGGGAGTAGTTCTTAGCTAGGTTACTTATAGTGAGTTTGGATCAATCCAATTGGCTAGCCAATGAGTGTAGATGAGTGGCCAGCTGCAGTCAATCATATCACGTGCTCCTCTCAAAATTAGTTTGTGAAACTTCATTTAATAAGAACAAGTGAACAACTCAATTTTGACAAAAAAGTCAGATAGAACCTTACAATTCTAAGGTGACGAACTGTCAAAGGATTTTCAAAGTCACACTGGTAACATTTCACACTTAATAAAGCACATAATCAGCGCTGAGGAGATCATTGTCATGGTAGTGTATGCTGTAGTTCAGCCACGGCGTCGCAAAAATACAAAGGTTTCTAAAAAAACATGTATGAAGATAGTGTTAGTCACTTAAGGGAGCTTTAAACTTACTTGATTATGTTATAAACAGATTCAAACTTCAATTATTATCATAAATAAGTGTTAAAAAGATGTCTCTCTCTCTCTCTTTCTCTCTCACTCTCACACACACACATATACACAAACAAATTATGTCATCATTTATTCATTCTGTATTTACTTTCAGAGAGGTTTTTTGCATATTCACTCTGCTTATTGAAAATCAGATGGGTTTGAATGGCGAAAATGTGTTTAAAAATGTTGAAAATAAGCTCAAGCAAAAAAATTCTCTAACTATGCATGATGCTGCTGTTAAATTAGGAATAATTAAAACTATTATCATTCATGGCTTCAGATTATTCAATGAAACCTTGAAGGTATTGATTTGAGAATACGAATTGTCTGCACGTTCACTAGATAATTAACACATGCCTTAGAGGATGGTGTTGATGAGGTTTGCATGTGTGTCACAGGAAGGAGTGGAGGTGCGAGTGGCTCGCATCTTCAACACCTTCGGGTCTCGCATGCACATGAACGACGGGCGAGTGGTCAGCAATTTCATCCTGCAGGCTTTGCAAGGAGAGGCACTGACGGTAAGACCTTTACACCTCGTTAAAATAATGAGCTGAATACAGTATTAAGTTCACCTTCTACCTCTGTTACACCAACTCTCAATCACACATTTCTCATTTCAGCTTTACACAGACACACTTCAGATTGTGGCCTGGTGACAATTGGTTTGGTAGCAGTTAGCTTGAAGGGGTGCTCGTAGGACTGATATGACACCTTTATTATCATGACATGACACGTGAATACAAAGGAGATTTTGGGCATGCTTATGACAACTGTCATTAAGTGTCATTAGCTAAATTATGCCATTTTGATATTGTTGAGATGTCTGTTATGACAACTTGACATAAAGAATTAATCATAGCCTTACACTGTTTTTGTCATGACTTGATATTACCAAGAGTAAAGCTGCGTCTGAAACCGCCTACTACTCAGTAGGCATTGCAATTGAATTTAAATGTACTACTCAGCCATTAGAAAAGTCTGTTCTATAAAGTATAATTGTGAAAAGTATCAATGGAATTCGGACGTACTACATCCGCCATTTTGTCATGGTCACGTGACCTACTCGCGTCAGTTCATTCATTCATTCATTTCCTTGTTGGCTTAGTCCCTTTATTAGTCCGGGGTCGCCACAGCGGAATGAAACGCCAAATTATCCACAAACACCCATTCACACACACACACTCATACACTATGCACAATTTAGCCTAATTAACCCAATTCACCTGTACCGCATGTCTTTAGACTATGGGTGAAACCGGGGCACCAGGAGGAAACCCACGCGAACGCAGGGAGAACATGCAAACTCCACACAGAAACGCCAACTGAGCCGAGGATCGACCCTTTTTTCTGTGAAGCAACAGCACTACCTACTGCGCCACTGCTTCGCCAAACCTTCAAATAATACAATGAAAAAAAAAAAAAAGAAATACAAAACTAGCTCCTGGGACATATAGTAGTATATAGTAACCGAATATTTAAGTTTATAGATTATATTCTTGCTTCATTATTATTAAAACTTCAACTCGCATGACCATTTCAGACATTCCTGAACTCTTCCTCAGTCTCTCTGTAGCTGCTTCTTTTACTGCATTTGCTCTGATGACTCTTGATTGCGATTCTGACTGTGTTTCTCCTGCATATCTTTTTAGGTCTACGGTTCAGGGTCTCAAACAAGAGCTTTCCAATATGTGAGGTAAGCACTGATATGAAACTAAAATTGATGCGTGAATGAGTTTTTTATTTATTCCATTCCATCCAATACCACATAATATATAAAGCTAAAGTCAGAATTATTAGCCCCCCCCCCCTTTGATTTTTTTTGATTTTTTAATTATTTCCCAAATGATGTTTAACAGAGCAAGGAAATTTTCACAGCACAGGGTTCAATGCTAAGGATTTTTTAAACGTTTTTTTTTTTATTTTTTAATTATTTCCCAAATGATGTTTAACAGAGCAGGGAAATTTTCACAGCACAGGGTTCAATGCTAAGGATTTTTTAAACGGGTTTTTTTTTATTTTTTAATTATTTCCCAAATGATGTTTAACAGAGCAGGGAAATTTTCACAGCACAGGGTTCAATGCTAAGGATTTTTTAAACGGGTTTTTTTTTATTTTTTAATTATTTCCCAAATGATGTTTAACAGAGCAAGGAAATTTTCACAGCACAGGGTTCAATGCTAAGGATTTTTTAAACGGGTCCGATCGGGCCATTGGTTGAGATTTTTACTTGCCCTGCCAAAATTTTCACTGGGTCCACCAAAAAAAAAAAAAAAACTAAAAAGTTAATAGCCATTTCTTAGCCACATATTTTAAATACTGGCAAAATTATGCCTGTGAATCTAGAATTTAAACATTTTAAATATGTCAATAAATGTATAATGAGCAAAATTCTAGATTTTATGCAAATGAAAGAGCAGTATGAAAAATGTGCTGGTATTTTATTGCAATTCTAAATATTATTTATAAAAATGGCTTGCCAAACTGACAACTGTTTTTTTATTTATTTATTTTTTTATTTCAGTTTCTTAATTTTGTTCCCATGTAATTGTCTGCTTCTAAGACTTTAGAAACAGACGTTTTCTTTTAGCCTCATTGTTTAATTTTGTCGCCATGTTGCCATCTTTTCGCTGTACTGGTTGTTACCAGGTTACAAAAAAAAAAAAAAAAAAAATGTGCTCAACGTTACTGGCCGATAGGGGCCAGTAACAATCCTGTCTACTGTCCCGAGTGTCTTTCACACTGGCCCCGGGCCACCAGGTAGTCCTTATTGTTGAGCCCTGCAGTATGTCTGATAATATTTTTTCTTCTAGAGAAAGTCTTACTTGTTTTATTTCGGCTAGAATAAAAGCAGTTTTTAAATTTTTAAAGAGCCCATATTATACATGAAATAGGGTCATATCTTGGTTGTAAGGGTCTCCAACAACAGTCTAATATGCATGCAAGGTCAAAAAACACTTTCATGGTCTTATAATCTGCATTTATTTTTACCTAATTATCCCAGCGACTCCCGTATGAATCGTCCAGTGATTCATTTGTTCCCAAACCCCTCCTTAGCGCGAAGCTAATCTGCGCTGATTGGACCGATGACAGTCTGTCGCGATTGGTCGACTGCCTTCAGTCAGAGAGTGAAATGGCCAATAGCTAATCAGCAATATAAAAAGTAATCACAGTTCATACACGCTCGATAGTGTAGGCGTGGATTTTAGCTGCCACACTATGGCGAGTGGATAGTGCCACGGATAACCGAACGAAGGAGACAGTCGTGTACTCGCCATACCACACACACACAAAAACACACACACACCTCCGGACGACAACGCTTCCGCCCGCACCCGCCAGGTTTTAGCCTGAGAACCCGCTCCGTTTTCTGCCCGCCGCGCCCGATCCCGCTAGAGCGGAGAAGAACACAACCAAAAATCACCCAGTATACAGTCCAGACAGCCAAGCTGTCTGTATAAACACACATGCACAGCACCAAGCACACAAAGCTCGTTCGCTCCCTCTCTCTCTCTCTCTCACTCTCTCTATCTATCTCTCTCTCTCGCTCTCTCTCATACGCGCGCGTGCGCACTAACACACACACAAGCACCAAGCACTCTCTCTTTCTAATTCGCATAGCAATATCCGTGATATTGCTAGACAGCCCGCTCCCGTCCCAAATTAAACCCGTTACTGACCGCTCCTGCGATTTATTCGGAAATTTATTCCCGCGGCTGTCCCCGCGCCAGATTTCTGCGGCACGGGAATAAATTTCCCAATAAATCGCGGGAGCGGAACTCTAGCACGGAGCTCCGTCAACAAAGCAGCACGCGTCGCGTTTTTAACGTGACTTTGCACGCGATAAGAGAATATATCCAGTTAACCTGATACAGTACACGCGGTTACAAGTAACAAATCACAACTAAATACATTTGCAGGCTAGAGTAAACGAGGCAACAACTTTAACCGCACGTACTTACACTTGAGAAAGGTAGGAAGAAACCCATCCTGACGTCCATCAGTTACTCTTTACTGATCCTTCCTTTAACAAACTCAGATGAAGTATTCTTTGTAGCATGTAGCTTCCAGAAGTTTCCAACTGCTTGGTTATAATGCTGATGTTTCATCTTTGGGTAGAGACTCAATATAATATCCATCTGCAGTGTGACTTCAATCGACCGGCATGTTTGTGTGTGTGTGTTTGTGGGTGTGCGTGTGTTTGTGGGTGTGTGTGTGTGTCTGGGTTTCTGCGTCAGAGGGCGGGGCCTCAGGTTTGAAATCTCCCGGGTTTGCGCATGCACGTGAATAACTTGGTTTCGTTCGTACGTCATGGCGAAACACCTAATGAATCGGTATCAAGGCGACTCGTTTGAAGCACTATGAGTCGACTCTTTTATAGATGAATCAACCGTTTTAAACACTGTATTCTTACAGATTTAAGCCTTAGCTGGATACTTCACTTCACTTAGAGCTGTGTTACACACTACATGGAGGGGAATTTTCAAAAACCCATAATATGGGCTCTTTAAACATCATTTTAAGGACGAATTATTAGCCCCCTTAAGCATTTTTGCATTTGTGTCTACAGAACAAACCATTGTTATACAATAACTTGCCTAATTACCCTAACCTGCCTAGCTCTAGTTAAGCCTTTAAATGTCACTTTAAGCCGTATAGAAGTGTCTTGAAAAATATCTTGTCAAATAGTATTTACTGTCATCATGACAACGATAAAATAAATCAGTTATTAGAAATAAGTTATTAAAACTATTATGTTTAGAAATGTGTTGAAGAAATCTGCTCTCTGTTAAACAGAAATTGGGGGGAAAAAAATCAACAGGGGGTCTAGTTATTCAGGGGGGCTAATAATTCTGACTTTAACTGTGTATGTGAAAAATGTCGAAATATTGCAGAAATGCAGCAAAACAAATACACCATTTTCTAGCAGTATTCAATTCAATTCAATTCAGCTTTATTTGTATAGCGCTTTTACAATGTAGATTGTGTCAAAGCAGCTTCACATAAATGGTCATAGTAACTGGAACAGTGTGGTTCAGTAACTGGAACAGTGTGGTTCAGGTTTTAGTGTTTAAGTTCAGTTCAGTTCAGTTTAGCTCAGTTCAGTGTTTTTAATCATTACTGAGAGTTCAAACACTGAAGAGCCAATTCATCGATGCGTAGCTCTACCAATCCTGAACCATGCGAGGCAGTGGCAACAGCGGAGAGGGAAAAAAAAACTTCACCTGATGGGAGTGAAGAAAAAAAACCTTGAGAGAACCAGACTCAGTTGGGCACGACCATTTTAATTTCTCCGCTGGCCAAAAGTATGTTGCACCAGTTCAAAATGCTCACAGATAAGTCACAATGGTCTACGTCAAGGGTGGTCAACAGGTGGTCCGTGGGTTGCACCTGGCCCATCTGGAACCATTTTTGAGCCCACGTTGTGCTCAAAACTATTACAAATCAGTTTTATAATGTAAATTTTCATCATTTTAATGCAGTTGATTTTCTTAAAGCAGGTAGCGTCTTTAAAATGCTAAACATTGTTTTTATTTGTTGCTTATTACGCATATGCTCATTGAAAGTAATATTTAAAATTTAAAGAAGTGTCACGATGTGGCAGGCTTCTAATCTGATGTGCGTCAGACACTTCACTTTGCATTGTGTAAATGTCAAACGGTCTTCTTACCAGCATGATAACAAGCATATAAAGCAATTTTAAAGCAAGAAGCACTCAAATAACTATGAATGGAGCTGTCAACCATTTCACAGAGTTTGCACTCCTGTTGTAATTATGAAAGCTGGCTGAACACTGCAGAAAACCTCTTACAAGGGATGTGTAATAATAGGATTCTCTTATTTACTTTTTTTGCTGGTTGTGATGAGTGGATTTCGGATGTGCAGAATTCAATCAATGAGCTGGAAGCTGTATTTCAGCATAAACTGGACTCACTCCACCTCTTCCTCAGCATGAAAGTAGTGTTTTTCACTGTGACCTTCTTTTAAATTAAAGTAATCATGAATAAAAGTGTACCTACTTGTATACAAATATATTTGCCTTGTTTTGACATTTAAAATGTGGCTAAGAAAAAAAAAAAAAACAGGTTTTTAGGGGTGACCAGAGAAAGGGAGAGCTTTGCATTTGCTTTTTTGCATTCTACAAGTTGCTTTGGAATATACACTCACAGGCCACTTTATTAGGGACACCTTTCTAGTATCGTGTTGGACCCCGTTTTCCCCTCAGAACTGCCTTAAACCTTCATGGCATAGATTCAACAAGGTACTGGGAATATTCCAATATATATTGGGTCCGTATTGACATGATAGCATCCCGCAGTTGCTGCAGATTAGTCAGCTGCACATCCATGATGCAAATCTCCCATTCCACCATCCCAAAGGTGCTCTGTTGGATTGAGATCTGGAGACTGTGAAGGCTATTTGAGTGCAGTGAACTCATTGGCATGTTGGAGAAACCAGTCTGAGATGATTCGCACTTTCTGATATGGTGCGTTATCCTGCTTCTGGAAGTAGCCATCAGAAGATGAGTACAGTGTAGTCATAAAGAGATGAACATGGTCAGCAACAATACGGAGGTACAGTAGGCTGTTTGACACGATGCTCAATTGGTAGTTATGGGCCCAAAGTGTGCCAAGAAAATATCCCTCACACCAGTACACAACCACCAGCAGCCTGAACCGTTGATACAAGGCAGGA